GCCTGCGCCCTGTCTCCTGTCCGACCAACACCCCCCACTTCTTCTAACGCCACTTCTTCAAAATAGACTCGCCCAGGCCGAAAACGACTTCTGTGCATAGGCCACGAAGTTTCAATAGCACTGTACGTGCGCGCCCGCACGTGGTATTTTGTGGAAGAGCCACACTCAAGGGGCCAAAGAGCCGCATTGGCTCGTGAGCCGCGGTTTGCCGATCACTGCACTAGACTAAGGTGCTGACCCTCCAGTTTCTACAAAACATGACCTGTCTAGCATTGTCATTCTGGATTGATAGAATTTCAAAGAATCAATAGAGAAAAAAATGGCATTTTATTTTACCTTTGACATATTATTTTTGAAAAGTTAAAAATAGCTCCCAGGCCCTGGCCGAAGTGGCTCAGTTGGTTGAAGTGTTGTCCTGTACACCAAAGGGTCGTGGGTTCGATTCCGGGTCGGGGCACATACCTAGGTTGTGAGTTTGGTCTGGTTCCCGGTCTGGGAGAATACAGGAGGCAACCAATTGATGTCTCTCTCTCTCTTTCTCTCTTTCTCCCTTCCCCTCTCTAAATATTAATAAACATATTCTCGAGTGGGGATTAAAACAAAAAATAAAAGCTTCCAAAGCCTTGTTATAGCTAATTCGGATTCCTAGGGAAGACTTGGTACAAGCTGAGAGGCAGCAAGGGATGGCAAGATAGTGGCAAACAGAACTAGTCATGTACCTGTGGTCCAGGATGGGGCAGACGGCCCTGATTAGACCCTCCAAACCTGAGGACATATGGCACTATTATGCTACACTTAGGGCTTATAGCCTTTGTTATTTTTCTTCCCATACACATTTTTGTGTCCAGTTACTTAGGTAAATCTCCTAGAAGTAGAATTATTAGGTGAAAGGGTATGTAACTTTCTAAGGCAACCCATTGATGTCTGGTTATCCAGTATGTATCAAAGGCTTTTAATTCCCACTCCCCAAAAAAGTTTGAGAGAGACCATTTTACTACATACCTTTGACAATTCTAGGTATTTTTATCTTTTGGATCTTCAACCACTTATTCTTTAAAAAAGTAAAATCACTTTGAGAAATTAGTATTTGTTGCTTCGTTGTACAGAATATATCAAAGTCAGAAGAAAAAAAGCAACTTACTGAGCAAACTCTACTTTTTCTGCCCAACTGTTCAGTTAAATTCAGTTTACTGGGTAGTCTATATACTGCCCTCTTGCAGTCTAGTTCGAAAGAGTTGAAGGTATTTTGATTTATAGAGACCTTTTATAGCGAATGTGTTGTTAAGAAAACCTGTCTCATCAGTCACAATTCCTTAAAACGAATTCCACTGTAGGAATGCAGTGTTAAGACATGGGAGTGAGCACTCTAAACATCTAGATCAGTGATTCTCAACCTTCCTAATGCCGCGACCCTTTAATACAGTTGCTCATGTTGTGGTGACCCCCAATTTCATTGTTACAAATTGAACATAATTAAAGCATAGTGATTAATCACAAAAACAATATGTAATTATGTATGTGTTTTCCGATGGTCTTAGGCAACCCCTGTGAAAGGGTCGTTCGACCCCCAAAGGGGTCGCGACCCACAGGTTGAGAACCGCTGATCTAGATGTATTCGATTTTCACATTACTTTTCATGCTTTAAGAAGTAACATAGAAGCTCTATATCCTCCAAATAAATTTTTCAGATAGTCATGCTCTGTGCCTGCAGTATATAGACCCACGTAATTGTACTGCGAAGAAAAAGTTAAGCTAAAACAGTATTTTGAGTGCCATTCAGTATGTATGTTTACTCTTTCTTTCTAGCAAGTTAAAACATGTCCCCCTTTATTTTAGAGACTGGCATAACGACTTAAGTGAAAATCACTTTCCTAACTAAATCACGATGTTAATTAGCACCGAGGGAAGAATAAAAAGTGCTTTGAGTCCACTGTAGACGTGAACAGAACATGATCCGACACCCATGCAGGAAACATGCTCTTTCAGGAGTCTTTTTACTTTATATGGTGTCACGGATGTCCACCTCATGAGCTGCTCCCAACGCAGGCTTTGCCTCTACAGAAGCTCTGAAAGATGACAGGGTGGGGCCGTATTATAATAGAGCCAGAGCAGTCATTTCAGGTGAACTGTCCTGCGTGTCTTGTGTTTCTTGATCTTCCAAACTTCATATTCCACCTATTTGTCTCTGGGAATGTATTATAATCCAGAGAGAATACTGTTAAATGCCTTGGGGGGTGGGGAGTAGGGTGCTGCACAAAAATTGTTTCCCTAAGATCAACAGGTGCTAATGAGAGAAATGTCTAAGCTAAAGAAATCAACAGGTCCTATCATGAATTGGTCCATTTTAAGTCAGCAGAAATTCATTCGTGGCTAAACAGATGACTCATAAAGTAAAACCATGTAAAACAACAGGATCATGCATCATAGAAATGCACACTTGAAACCTACATAATCTTACTAACCGGTGTCATCCCAATACATTTCATTTACAATATTTTTTAAAAGAAAAAGAAATTGCCTTTAGTTTGCTGCTAGCTTCAGGAATAGGTAGGAACTGTTTGCTGACTCCTTAACGTCTATTCTTAAAATGCAAAGACCTGCAGAGATGCAAATGCTTCCAAACAGTCAGCTGTCTTGATTTTGAATACAGAGTCAAGGGGCAGTCCCCTGCCTCGGCACTAGGGGTTCACACGATTTCTTTCAAAATCCATGGGGCCCCAAACCGATCGGCATCGTTCTCAAACAAAGACCCTCAGGTTGCAATCCCGCAACACCGCGAAGGACACGCACAGCGTGTGCGGGTGGAAACCCGGATCATCGTGGGCCAACTAGGGCCTGGAAGGCACCTCTCCCTGGAGCTACGGAGAGCGCCCCCCCCCCGCCCCCGAC